TTGGGCTGTTTCCAAGCTTTAGCTATTACGAACTGTGCAGCTATAAACATGGGTGCACATATATCGCCGTGGCATGATTCTTTTAATTCTTTTGGGAAGATACCCAGCAGGGGAATCGTTGAAGACCCTACATTTTAGCAATTGTCACATGAAATTGTAATTCCCTCTGTGTTTCAAGTTCTCTAGTAAACTCTAAGCTCCTTTAATTTCTCATAAAATTATTAGATATACAAAAACAGTTGAATCATATAAATGCAGAGGCATTTGGAATAATATTGTTATTCATAGAATTAGTAAATCACCAGAAAGCATTTATTGTATCTTAGAAATCTCTTATGTTCTTTGTCCCTTTAAGTAAGGAAGGAACATGTCATCAAATCAAATACTCCAAGAAAAATTTGTTCCACATCTAGAGGAGAAAAACTAAGAAAAATTACTTAAAATTTTCTTTTCAGTGCTGGGGCTCAAACCCAGGGTTTTGCACATGCCAGGAAAGTATTCTACCACTGAGCTACATCCTCAGATTTTCTTCGTAATTTTAATAATTTGTATGCATAACACAAGATGTCTTTTTCTTAGATAAAAATGTAAATAATATTTTGTCTTTAATAAAAATGTTTGGTTATAAAATAAAAATTTAATTTTTCCTTTTGTCTTATAACTTAAATGTCACATTGAGATGGTATATTCGTCTACAATTGTTAGGATAAGGAACATTATTTTATATGAAACATTGTTTAATATATTTCTCTTTCTTCAGGCATCTTTCTTAACAAAGAAGTTAAATATCGGTGGGAAAAGAGTAAACCTTGCCATATGGGTAAGTTAACCTTTTCAACTATATGAGTAAATGACACTAAATACCTGTCATTGGTATTCTATTAACTAAATGCCTTAAGGAATAGGGATTTGAATTTCTCAAATTTTTATAGTTAACTGAAGGTTAGCCAAATTTTCTTTTTAATTAAAAATATCCTACATTCTGGTTAAGGGTTATATTTGAAATACAATTTTATATTTGAATATTGATGTCATAACTTTTCTGCCACAAAGGGCCTACTCAGGGGTTCCACTTAAAGGCAGGGTGGATGGGGAGCAGCTCTCCCCCCAAGTGTCTCCATGTGCCAGGCTCTAAGGGAGTGGCTGGTGGAAAGTAGGGCTACGGTACCTTTAAGCAGGTGGTCCTGATGTGTGCTCTCTTCCCATCTCTTGTCCCTGTGTGGAGTGTCTGAATTTAGGGCAGAGCCTACTCCTGGCTTACAGTACAGTATTGGGCATTTTGATCCTCTGGCAAAAGAACTGGTTTTTTAGTGGGGATAGGAAAGCTGCTGAGGAAAAGAGTTGGGAGGACAATAACATTTATATAATAGTAACATTGCATAGGACTTATAACTTGACTTTAAAAATAACTTTGTTTTTGTAAACTTTTGGGTTTTTTGAATAGTGTTTTGGGGTTATCTGACTTTATGCCCTGGTTGCCAATTAATCAAAGCTTGAGATAGATGTATCTTTTTGTTCTTATCTAATATTTGTTGCTTTATTTAGGATACAGCAGGTCAAGAGAGATTCCATGCATTGGGTCCAATTTACTACAGAGATTCAAATGGAGCTATTTTAGTTTATGATATAACAGATGAAGATTCTTTTCAGAAGGTA